AAAGAACAACACCCTTCTTCTGCATCCAGAATATGTTGGCCAGTTTTTACCTTGCTGTGCTTTATGGCTTTACATTACTTTAATTATAAGGTGTTTGTATAACCAAAAAATATAAATAAGGCTTCTTGGTTTTTTGTTAGAAAATAGCAACAAAAAAAAAATGTATCATGCCTTTCATTAATTGCTAAAAAAGGGGCACCTTAAAGCCGGCTATCCATCCATCCATTTTCTTTACACGCTTAATCCCAAGTGGGGTGGTGAGGAGTGCTGGTCTCCTGCTGTCAATGGGCAAGAGGCAGGGTACACCCTGGACAGGTCGTCAGTCCATCGCAGGGCAACACAGAGACAAACAACCATTCACACACACACCTAAGGAGAATTTAGAGAACCCAATTAACCTAACAGTCATGTTTTTGGACTGTGGAGGTAGCCACAGTACCCAGAGAGAACCCACGGATGCTCAAACTCCATGCAGAAAGACCCCGGGCCAGGAAACGAACCCAGGACCTTCTTGCTGCTACCTGCTGCTGTCCAACGACTTTTAAATCCTTTCCTTCTTCAAAACACTTCAGTCAAATAAATGGCATCTTGGGAGGTGAATAACATGAATAATGAGGGAATTCAGACACTGCTAGATTGGATTATTCTAAAGATAGTTGCTCTAGACATAAGCAATACTGGTGTAGAACAATTCAGCTCAGATTTTCTGCATTTTTTTGTTTGAACTACAGATCATCAAATGGGAATCCCAAATGTAATACCAACTTAAGCGTCATTACGCTGACCAATTGCTTATCAGAATAATTAATAACATTGGGGGAACTGATGGGCCACATTTCTATAGCTTTTTGTCTAAGCAACTATGTTGCCCTTAAAAAGGTATCAGAAGATGGTTGCATCCAAGCCTAAAGTTGGTTCAAGAGGTTTTTAAACTCTGAGTACTGTTTTTATCACACTGTGATTCTTAATGTTGGCCTAAATAAACGCTGACATATTTATACTTTTTATCCAAAGTTTATTAATTTAATTTAAGGGGACTGATCAGGAGCAGATGTGTGTTTTTTTTATGTGATATTTAAAACCTCAGAGAAAGCATCCAAAATATATCCAGTACAGTCATGAGATTTACTTCAGAAAACATCTGTAATAAATAATGTGATCAAATAATTGGGGACATCTGGGTTATAAAACAGCTGGATGTATGCTGTGCCTGTTTCAGACTGTATATTGTTTTTTAATTGTATACATTTTATTTAATTAGAATTAAGTAATAAGAGATCTTGATTTATTCTCCTAATCAATGGTAAGATTTTACGTCTGTGTCAATATTCAACTAAATTTCTTCTTCAGTAGCTTAAAACGGACTAAGATGCTTTTCTTGCGGTTAACTTCTCATGGTGTCCCACAGCTGGGCCCATTGCTACTAATGCATAGCATTTTACCCTAACTGCCCTCATCCCTGTTAACAAAGACAGCTGAGAAGTGCACTCTACTTATCAGGGCAAAACTTTTTTCAAAGCAGTAATTGAGTTTCACAAGTTGAGCTGCATTGTTCCCCTCTAAACTAACTGTGTATTTGAAAAGGCATTTGGACGTGATAGCTTCACAATAGTTTTTCTCATCCCCTTGGATGAGAAGGTATAATGAGAGCTTTGCACTTCTTTGAAGCACAGAAAAAACTTTGGTGCTTCTCTTCGATTGTAATGACCCAGAATAAATCTTGTATTCCTGAATAAATCACTACTGTATACAAAGAATAAATTGCTTCCACTTGGTTGTACCAAAATGCCCCACCTCCTGCACTGAGGCTAATGAACGTAGCAGTTTGCTTGATACTGTACGAGGTCATGGGACGAGCATTGGGTCAGCTCCGGGTCAACCCTCCAGCTTTAACTGAGTGAGGGCAACCCGTGGAGGAGGGGATGAAACTGCTAGTGGCTGGCATTGTCTGGCGGAGAGACACCAAAGCAGAGTTTGTCCCAAAAAGGCCTTGCCCTGTCCATGACACAACTCCCAGACTTTGCCCCGGGCTTACCTCTTTTGCCCTCTGTGTGCGTCTCGTGCCTGCTGCTTGGGATCTCCAACAAGATTGCACTTTAGCAGGTTTAGACCAACAAATCATGACCTCAGCTTGCCTGTTTCTTATTTGTAAAAAAAACTGAAGTTTTCAATGTAATTGGAAGTGTCTGAAAACTACCAGTGTTCATTAGCAAAGCATGAAGGTGGCGTCATTAAGCACAGGGTCAAGGATGCTGCCAGTTGGCTGCTTCCTCTATTGTTGCTGTGCCTCCCACTGTCACATGTAGACGGGGAACCACTGCTTCTGAATCTCTTGGCTGGCACATACTCATTGGCCTATATGGACAAGCTCATTAGCACCAATAGATGCTAACAAACAAAATCCTGCTTGTGCAACCTTGCAATTTACTGTACAATGAAGTTGAGAAGCAGGCCATGTTAGAGGTGCTTCACTCTTTACAGCTCTTATTGAGACTCATAGTCTTACTTGCAACACATACAATATTTTTAGAATCAGTGTAAAGGTGAAAAATGGCGTTTTACAGTGTGACATGTAGATATTGGTGCAACTGTATGGGGGGAAAACTCACACTCCTTTTTTTACTGTCTGGATATTTTACACCACAGTCAAATGTTAGAGAAATCCAAGTAAATACAAGTGAAATGAAAGTGGATGAATGGAGTTTAGGCTTGGATCTTTACAATTTTGACTCTTATCTATAAAGGTATACTTGGTGAACTTCAGCTGTACCTCTGTGACCTCCTCTCTGTTTGCTCTGGTACATTTTCACTACACTCCTCAAAGTGGATTCTTTTACATGTGACACTGACTTGGGGAAAAACTGATTTTTTTATTCAGTACTTTGGGGATGGAATAATCTACAATAATCTAAATTTAGAAACCCTCATGCCATTAATTCATTGAAAGGTATTGCAAATATGATGGAGACATGCACTTGTTTTCCTTAAGATTCTCATTGTTTTTACATTTTATACTACTTTTATCATGGAAATGTAACTTGATGTTTATTAAGGATGTTGTGATTTGGCAGCTTTCTTGTAAAAGAGTTTCTAAATCACAATGGGACCTTTAGGTTAAATAAAGCTTAAAAAAAGCTGAAATGTTGTGGGTTGACCTGCAACAATGGAACAAATCTTCCTCAGCCTGACATAAGACACTGATCAATGGCTAAGATGATCCCTTCTCTGAAGTTCTTATATCTGAAGCTAGTGACATGGAAATGGAAGCAATAATTTTGTTTAAGTTTTAAAACACTTCTTTGTATAAATTCTGTTCAATAAGTGAAACCAGAATTATTATTCTGTTTAGGAACATTTCATCTATAAAGTTACAGTATTTCTGGAGAAAATACTAAATATTTATTAATATATCTTATTTTTCACATGACTGTGGATATCACATTTAGAGTCGAGGTAAAAAATAATTCCCTCACTTCTATTTTAGAGTTTTACATATCTAGATATCTAAATATTTCTGACTAAAATGTGCTTCTGTGTTTCATATTAGTTTGGGCAGTAGAATTAAAGTAGAAGTTGAAATGCACTTTGAATGATTGAATAGAACTTTATCGATCTCACAAATTAAATTTTGACATCGACTCTTATAAACAAACAGGAAGTGCACAACAAAGGAAAAGGTGAATGAAGTATATACAGATATATACAGTACTGTAGATGGCAAAAAATTGAGAGATTGAATGTGACTTATATATACAGTATCTTATGTATCTTATTATAAAGTATCTTATTATAAAGTAAAGTGTTGGCAGTTTCTGGTTTGTTAAACAGATAAATAGTAAAAGTCATTGCAGTGTGATTACACCAGGTTATATTGCAGTAGCATTGTAAAGATGGAAGAGTTATAAACAAATGAGTTAAAAGCATTTTTTATTTTTCTGTAAAATGTGCTGGTCAAGGAAATTATTGTTGTTGTAGTTGTTTTTTTAGGATAACACAGAGACGGAATATACTATTAGGGAAACATTTCAAAGGTATTTAGTCTCCCCTATTGTGAAAAATGAAAATTATTTACAAATGGAAAATAAAATCTACAAATCTTCAGAAAGGATGTCTGTAGAGTTTATTCCAGTTAGATTTGTCCTGGGTATAGAACTGATAAAAAAAATGGATTAGTTAAAATAATGAAGTGAATGACATTCAGGACAATTAGAGCAAGACTGAATAAGTGTGTCTGGCTTATTTGACCATTAAAGTTATATTGCAACTTAAGTTCATTAAGTTTAAACTGGATGAAGCAGAGAAGCCGACTTTATTATTTTTTGACATAAAGAACTTCTCAAAACCAAATGTATCACCTGAAGCTGCTCTCAAGCATGGTGATGATTTGGGTTTGATTTACAGCCACCAGACTGATGCAGGTATAAAGTCAAGCTAGAGCTTCTAAGGTTACCAGAGTGTTCTAGTTTCAAATGTAAAGTCATTTGTTTGACAGCAGAGACTAGGCTTAAATTATTTACAAGTAGATACAATATATCTACTACAGTTGCATAAATAGACAGAATGAATGAAAAAGTCAGTCATTGTCAGTCATCTCTGCATAAACAAACATTAGCAAACTTCAGAAATCTGAACATTGCATAGAAGAGGAGGTCAGACTTCTGCAACCAAGTGTGAAGTCAGGCAGACTGCAGCTGATCCTAAATGTTAGCCTGCAGAACAGATCATACCAGGAAACGGGTGGCTTTGGCTTTTCCTTACCTTTGTTTGATAAATGGATTGATAAATTGGCATTTGTTGTTTGATTTTTTATAATATCCTAATATTAAAAATGATTTATTTCTGATTTATTTTGTGATTTATGATTTATTTTGTGATTTATTTTATTATCACCATTGGTGTTTCAGTCTTTAATTTTAATTAAAGAATGAAATAATTTTTATTTTCTACTATGTTTCTGACCTACTTTAAAAAACATTTTTTTTTTATCTTAACTCCATCAGCATCCGAGCCCAACCTGAAGCGTCGTTCGTGGTTAAAGCAGAAAGTGACGGAGCGCCGAAGCAGCCCTCTGCTCCGCAGGAAAGATGGACAAATCACTAGTGCCAAGAAGAGATCCCTCGACATCGCTGGTGAGATCACTTTCTCAGTTAAATGAACTTAAGAGTAGAAAATGAGGCAAGTTTATCTGTATAGCAGATATCAGTAGGAGGACAGTTCAAAGTGCCATACATGCAAAAGAAAACAGGAAGTATATTGGGAACGTAAGACAGAAGTAAAAATGAGCGTCTCAGACCGTTCCCAGAAAAAAAAAAATGCCCAAAAGAAGTTTTCCTTCTGTTTACGGGGGCAATAAAGATATCTGATATGTAAAAATGATAATTCCATAAATATTGAAAAAATATATGTTTTCTAGTGACAAGTACAGAGCAATTAAATTAACTCTCTGCAT